AGAGAGAGAGAGAGAGAGAGAGAGAGAGAGAGAGAGAGAGAGAGAGGTAGCCATGTACATTTTTTGATGAGACCAAACAGACCATGCTAAACACACTGAAAATTATTATACTAAAATCAGTAGACCAAAAGAATGAAATGGCAAAAAAAATTTTTATGTGACTCAACTAGATTAAGACCCTAGTTGTCATCTTGTACCATGTAAAACAATGCTATGTTTCAGACTCTAGAAATTTCACTGATTTGTGGAGGAGACAGATCAGCAAAGGAAAGGTAACATTTGTATTGGAATGTGTCCTTTTGGAGAAATGTCTCATGCATGTCACAATGAGCTTTTCCTGAGGCTGTTCATGTGGTCTCTCTCCAGGATGACATCAGACGGGTGATGAGTACCACCCACCCCTACCCGTGACTGCAGTCCTTGAATAGATAGGAGAGATCTCGAAACCGAAATGCCTCAGGTCAAGGGCAGTTGGCCATTGGATAATAGTCACAGGCTGAATAACATTTGTCAGTGATAGGCTATGTATACAACCCTGTCCCATCACGTTCTGGTGGAGCTGAAAAAGTCCTGTCCCTGGTTAGATCACAGTCACTATACCATCCTGTATTACATTGTTCATCTGTGCAGAGAGATACTGAATGAGCCAACTGCCAATCAGATCCAAGCCTGACATACCCAACTTGAGTGCAGTACGTGGTACCTGATAATAACAAGTCACCTGCTGATGGTTTAGGCAATTACTGCTCTGTACATTTTTATCATTGGAGGGCTCATTGTTACAACACAATTTGACTGCTAAATATTCTACCACATGACCCCAGAAGCTGCCTTCCTGTTCCCTGCAACCCTTTGATGCAATCTCTAGTGCTTGTGGTGAGCTTGTTTTAATTTGTTCATCATGGCTGCAGGAACAAGAGGCTGTACCACACAGATACTCTACATGGCCTACAGCAATGGTTCTCAGCCTTCCTGATGCTGCAACCCTTTAATGCAGTTTCTCATGTTGTGGTGATCCCCAACCATAAAATTGTTTTTGTTGCTACTACATAACTGGAATTTTGCTACTGCTATGAATCATAATGTAAATATCTGATATGTGAGACACCTGATATTCTGTGTGACCCTGTGAAAGGGATGTTTGAACCCCGCCAAGGGGATTGAGAACTGCTGCCTACAGCATCCTAAATGCCGCCTTCCCCTTTCCCCATTCCAGATCAACCTTGTCTTTTCCCACTCTCTATGCTCTCTTCATTAGACAGTGGAGCTCTCTTCTCGGAGCTTTGTGTGGCTGATCCTTCTGTCCCCTGACTGCCACCCGAACCCCTCCTCTTTACCCAGTTTTCATCTGCGTGCTCTTCATGGAGCCTTACTGATTCCAAGGCATCAAGCCACACGCAGGCTTTTCTCTTCATGGCCATGTTATTGTCCCAGCACCTGCTAGAAATCCAGACCCCTAGATTCCTCCCTGCAGTCAAGGATTATACATGAGCCCCAGTCACCTGCCTGATGCTTTGGGTCTTCTAGTTTTATGGAACATATAATTAAATTTGTCTTCTCTGGCTAATAGGCCAAGTTAATTCACAGACTATCCGGGAAAGGAGCTTTGAAGTGTAGAAGAAAGCAAATCTTCCTTCCTTGTAGTAATTAATGTCTACTCCTCTCCTGCAATATAAGCGTGCTCCCGTCAAGGTTTTGATTGGAAACATGGCTGGCAATTGTGAGCACTCTCTAGATAGCTGTTGAATACACTTACTGGCGACATATGGCGGGACTCTATCAGTCACAATTTCTTGCCCCTTCCCCTCCCAAGAGACTAAAAATGTCATAGACACAAAGGACTGTAATCTATGCTTAGAGGACTGAAATAATCTAAGAGCTTTATCTCTTTCAGGGTAAATTCTGTGAAGACAGCAGGAAGGGAGGAGTCCTATCCGTACACACCAAGAAGCACTAAAATTTAAACAGTAGAAATCACCAGACTCTTACATGACCTGGAAACAGCAACTGCAGGTCTGCTCCAGCTCTAACTGCCTCCAGGGTAGGCTGAATCCTCCCCTCCACTGCTAAGGGGTGTTAACTGGAGACACGGCTGGATGTCTGACACCAACACAGGAAGTAAGAATCTGAGTGCACACCAGCCCTACCCTCACCCCAAGCCACAGCAAGTGGCTGGCACTCACCTGAAGGTAGAACCGAAGTGGATAGACAGACCATCTTGTGCCACTGGTCACTTTGATCTCTCCTGGGTAGGCAGGCAGGGATGGAACTAGTCCCTTGTGTCCTTATGCTAGTCTCTCTGCAGCTCCCCTGGCTTTCGTCTAAGTGCAGCTGACAGCTCTCTCTGCTGAGCAACCACACTCGTAGGATGTTCGTGGCCTGCGCATATGTGGGGTTTTTCCTTCCGGTTGCTGAGAGGCGATGTTGTCTCAATTCGTTTCTGCTCTGTACTGCCACCACCTCCTCCTCCTCCTCCTTCTCTTCTTCCTCTTCTTCCTCCTTTTCCCCTTCTTCCTCCTTTTCCTCTCCCTCTTTCTCATTCTTCTACTTCTCTTTCTCTGTCAGACTGTCCCATACGCTGGGGACACTTTGTAATTTTGAGTAAAGTAACAAAACTTTTTTTTTTCTGTAATCTTTTCTGTGGTTTGAAACAGGAGTGATCTTGATGTTGAGTTTGAAGTCACGAAGTGGCCTTTTGGGGGTGCATTGCAGGAAAATATAGGCTATTTTAAAAAGCCATTGGGTTTGGTATTTTTTGTTTATATGGACTACATTTGTTCTGAAGATTTCTACTGTAAATTGACATGGAACATTCTGACATATAGTAAGTATTTATGGAGTTTGTGGAGTACAATAGGTAGCAACCTAGGGGCTACTTCTTCACTGGTGAATCTCCAACTTACAAGGCAGTAAGACTAAAACACTTGAACCCATGGGAGGGAAGTTGAAAGCTACCTAGTCCCAACCCTTTTTCCTCTCTCTACTTTTGAGGGGCAGGTAAATGAGGCACTGGATTAGAGTTATCCTCTGTGTTGCACACATTTATGCCCCAGTGTCCTTCTCTGAGCAATGGGAAACATCATGGAGTGTTCTGAGTATTGAATGGGTTAGTATCTGGCATAAAATAAGAGCGATGTGAATGTCTGATGTAATTACCAGGGTCAATTCTGTATCTTTTGACTTGGGTTTTTGTTTTCTTCTTTCCCCTCCTGTTTCCTATGCCTGAGAGTTGCCTAGGGAATTACTTGAGGAGATGGCATATTGAGAGAAAAAAGAGGGAATATTTGAACAACAAATGCTCCTAAACATCCACAGATGCCTGGTGTTCCTCTTCAGTGCTAGGCTGCAACGGTAAGAATTCCCCCCCTAAGGAGGTACCTCCCACCCTCCCTCCTCAGGAGGTTCCAATGACAAGCCAAAGTTCACCCTAGTGAACCAGGGACTTTATTTGTGTTACTTACAGAGCACAGATGAGGGGTAGGGGACAGGCATCTGGGTGAGCTTAAAGCAGCTACACTGGAAGCTCTGTACCCAACATGGATGATGGCCGTCCCAGGGCTGTGTAGATACAGACCCCTCCCCTAGTCCTTTTGTACTGCATGTATGTTCCAGCTCCTCCTTGAGACCTTTGAAACCACATGAAATTACAACAGATTTCATGAAACTGATTGGGAGAAGTGGCTAGAAACTCAAGAGGACATGATCCTTCCACCCCCACCTTCTATGGGGGAACCTCAGGAGTCAACCAGCCCAGCTGTGATGACCTTTCGTGAGCAGGCCCAGTTGAACTCCTGAAGATGGTCCCATTTTGGCTCAGAGGATCCTCCTGGACAACACTTACTCCTTATCAAGACAAAGGACCCCTCACTGTGTGTGTGTGTGTGTGTGTGTGTGTGTGTGTGTGTACACAATGCTGTGACTTGAATTTAGAACCTTAAACATATTGAGCATATGCTCAATCTATGACCACGGTGCACCCTTCTTCCAATTTTGCTTTAATTTCCTGTACCATCCACTGAAATTCAGATCCGTGTCATTTATCCTAAAATGCCTGAGATGGCACGAATCTCACTGAAGATATTCTACCCATACACAGACACCACTTTGGGCAAATAGAGAAATACAACTCAGCTCGAGACTTGCAGAGAGATTTATAAACACACCAACACTTAAGAACTCCATCTATTCTCCCACATGTGCCTGAAGTGAATCAGATAACAACCCCTCTTACAAATCACTCTTGACCACATGCTATGTATCCAGACCTCATCTGAGCTCTGAGTAGATTACTCACCTGTCAAGTTGTTGCTGTTGTTGTTTGATAGCACAGAGTTTTCATAATGAACTGATGGGCCAGAGAAAAAGGCCTGTACAGATTTTGTCTAAGTATCCCTGTGTGCATTTCTCATTATTAAAGGATTATTTCTTCATCAGACATTTAATCATGATGTGTAATTTAAATGTCTGAACATTAGGATATAATTTACAGTTTTATAGTATAGCAAATGGCGTCAGTCTCCTTGTAAGTCAGAGCTACACTAGATATACTGAAAAAGTGAGGGCGGCTAGTGCATAAAATATTGGGTTTCGTAGCTTATAAATTGATCCTTTCTCATATCTAGATGCCTAATACTTTCTCTGTTGAGATGTGTGTATATGGAGAATACAAATGTGTGTGTATGTGTGTGTGTGTGTGGTGTGTATGTGTGTGTTCAGCTGTGCTTCCCCATGACTCCATACGTGGAGGCCAAAGATTGAAGTTGAGTATATTCCTTTATCACTTTCTAACTTATGTTTTGGGGCAGGGTTTCTCACTGAACCTATTGCTCACTAGTTCAGCTAGGCTGGCTGACCAGATGCCAAGCCCCTGGATCCTCCTGAGCACCTCTGAGCATCAGCGGTACAGACATGTGCTGCCATGTCTGGTTTTGCTGTGGACACTGGGGATCCGAACTCAGCCCATCACACTTGCACACAAGCACTTTCCCCACTGAACCATCTCCGTGGCCCTCTGCTGAGGTCTTCAGACTGGAGAGAGAACATGCTTCTTTAGAGGCAGCTGATCAACGGAGAATCTGTCCAAAAACACATGAGAATCATTTTAGAAAAGCAGGTTGTTCACAGTTGATAAGATGTGGGATTTCTGTGTGTGGTTTCTTGCTTGGGTTCTTGGATTTTTACCTTATTTTTTTTTTTTTGTTTTGTTTCTTTTCTGTTTGATTAGTGGCAGGTAATGCTGCTTGTCAAAAGATTTTACAAATTACAGATGGTTCTCACAAAAAAAAAAACCAAGCAAACAATTTCTAACCACTTGGTGCAATGAAGTCAGTGTTTACATTTCCGTCATCTGTGCTTAAACACTCTCTCTGGCTACTCTAATTGGCTTCTCGGTGCTGTCCCATTGGCTGAAATCTCAGTGAACACCACAAAATGTTTTACAACTCTCTGCCATGTAGCAGCTAACCCCAGACAGCTGCTCTGACTTTGTCATGGATGTTTGGTCTAAAGGACAAATGTATGGAATGAGGAGGAAGGGGACAAAGATACGCACTTGAGATAAAAGAGCTAGTCGAGGTGTGTGTACGTGTGTCGGTGTATGTGTGTAGAGGTGCGTAGGTGTATGTGTATCAGTGTACCTGTGTTGGTGTATGTGTGTAGAGGTGTGTAGGTGTATGTGTGTCAGTGTACCTGTGTTGGTGTACGTGTGTAGAGGTGTGTAGGTGTACATGTGTCAGTGTACCTGTGTTGGTGTATGTGTGTAGAAGTGTGTCAGTGTACCTGTGTTGGTGTACATGTGTATGCGCGTATAATTCTTATTTGTTTGTCTCCTTTCCTGTCACAACTGAAAACATTACCAGCCACTGGGAATCAACTCCCCACGGAAGATTTCAAATAAGTATACTCAAGCATTGGTTTGGCAACAAAGTTCTGTTATGGGAGATATTTCAAGTGGCAGCATCTGATTTGTCTTGTTACAGAGTCACCATGTTCCCGACTAGGCTAGGCCTGAGGCCATGAGTGACAAAGGCGTATTCTCGATGCTGCTTGATTCAGGCCACTGGCTCAGGTGGCCAGAGAGACCAGCCCTGCCACCCACAAGACCCCAGTGTGGGAGATGTCTCTGCCAATCTGCCACACTGTCTCCACAAAGCTGGGCTGAGCCCAGACCATCTCGTCATCCACTCGGTATCCAGTAGAAATGAGACTCTAATGCTTAAAGATTATTCAAAGGCTTTATATGTTTGGTAATGCTCAAATAACAAGATGCCCACACAATTAGAGGTGCATCCCAATATTTAACCTTATGCTATACGTTGTTACCCAGGACTGCTCTCGATATATGTGTGGTCTTCCATGGCTCCTACATCTCTCTCTTCCTCTGGCTCCTAGCTCCTCCTCTTCCTCTCCCCCCCCCCGACCCCCGACTCCTTACTCTGCCTACCTTCCATACAGCTCAATTGCCAAGCTTTATACAAAGTAGTGGGAGAAATATTCTGCTACAAAGTTCTCCATCATTTTCTCCCTGGATCCCTGCTCAGGCATGGGGACAGTGTTGTGCTGTTCCTTTTTAGTAGAGGAAAACTAACTTTAAGATCTAGCTTCTTCTCTGCTCGTTACCCACGTGTACTTGCACGCTCCCTGGTACTTCCGTGTGCATTCGTGATCCCTCAGTTCACTAGGCACTGACTCTGTCTCAGTGGAGACATAGCTTAGTGAGATAAACCCTTCCCCCAAAGAGATCATGACTTAACAAGGTCATGGTCTGAAGGTGTTGCTGCAAATCTGTGTATTAGAAACTTGATCCTCAGCTTCACAGAGTGTTGGTCACTTGGAGGCAGTTGAGATTAGATGAGACTTTGAGGAAGGGTCCCCTTGGATGGTGTTAATGGCTTCATAAAAACAAGAGAGGCACTGGGTTCTGCCTCCCACAGCAGTAACCTCCAGCAGGTTAGGGTGCCTCAGGAAGGCCTGCCCTATAAACCAAAAGGAGCTGGTCCTCAGACTTTAGACTTTCCAACTGTAGATTCACTGTCTAAATCGACTTCTCTTCTTTATAAATACTGTCTATGGCTTGGGAGAACATCACTATTTCTTGAATTACAGTAATCACTCTTCCTAGTCTGTTCTCCTTTGAGCCATAGCATCAAACATCTCTACTAAAGAAGGATATCGGGGGTCACCATTTTCAGGAATTGTTGTTAGGAGGTAAGTGATATTTGCAATGATGAAACTGTCCTGGCTTAGAGGCCAGTGTGTGAGGAAGAAAGGACACAGAGGAGAGCAGAAGGGAGACTAGCTTCTTTATAAGAGACAATGGGTGGGAGTCTAAAGGATTCTGATTTATTGAAAGCACTTCTCTTTGCATTCAGGCATCTAGCAAACACTGATTCCTTTGTAACTTGTATTTTATTTTATTGCATTAATATCTTTCTGTACTTTTATGGCTTCTTAAAAAAAACATCGAATTAACATGATAAAAAGAGATGATATGAACATTTTCATTCAAAAGTAGCCTTTACCACGTTGCAATTCTACTTTGTATAATATATGCAAAATGAATATGAGAAATATAATGAGATGGGTACAGATATTTGTGTGGGATTTGAAAGCCATCTACTGATGGACAGGTCTTCTCCAGTGAAATATTATCAACACTGCAAATTTTCTTAAAATCACTTATTTCCTTACTGAATAGTAACCATTTCTGACTTCTGAAAAACTAATAAATGCCAAAATCTTGTTACTGATGACTTCTATAATTCTTAAATCGAATTTTAAACCCCACACATAATACATTCCTCTTGTAACAAGTTAACCTGGTAAACTAAGTTTCACTTCTGCTGACCATCAGCGCTAATTTCAGTTCTCTTGTGCCTTTTGCCGACAACAAAACCTTGCTTTCTGTTTCAGAGGCAATCTACTGGGACCCTCCCTGAGTATTTATAGAAACACATGCTGCATTGTGATTTTACAGTCATTGATATACTGTCTTGTGCATATACAGTGTCAATGTACAGTCTTGCCCTTGAAGCGCCATGCAGAACATGAAATGAAACTGGCGCACCCTATTTCTGAGAGAAGGGAACCCAGTGGCCATTCTAGTTTCCTGAGTAGTCACCTGAAGGCAACTCATTCTTGAGACTTGAGACTAGGAAAGACGGAAACTGCATAGTTGCTTTCAAGGGCTAGAAAGGTTGAGTTCCTCTGTTTCCTTGGCCTCTGCTCATTTGTCTTGTGAATACTCAGAAATGAAGATTGCTATCCGTCTGTTTCAGCTCTGAAAAGAGATGCTCAGATCCACCACTGAAGATCACCCTCATCTGATAGAGCCATCTGTTAGATTTCTCTGCCTACTTGACTATGCAACTAAAAAAAGTCAAATCACTCTTCCTGTCCACCACACTCACCTGCCATCCCCAATTGTTGCCACCCCAGGCACGGAAAAGGACTGCCAGGTGCTGCGTTCAACATACATGTCTACTTTTCCCTCTGTGTCTCCCCTCTCCTTTTCATTAGACATGTCTATCCCTCCAACTCCGCTTTCACCATCACAGGAGAAATGATTACTGCTTTTAAATTGAGATATTTTTAACTAATAACCCCAGTCGCATCTGTTTATTCTGTTTAGTCTGCATGTAACGATTTAGAATAAGATAATAGCAATTTCAATGGAAGCCAACCTATTCTTTTCTTTCTGTCACTTGCCTGTCACAGAAACAAAGCTCTTTGTCTATATCGTCTCCGCATGCATTCCTCTGTTGCACACTCTCTGCTGGCTTTGTGTTCCCCCATTACGTCTTGTTTTCTGAGCCTCTACATTTTCCTTTCCATTACCCTTCTCCCCCTGCATGCCTTTAAGCCCTGGCTCTTCACCCACGTTCTTCCTAATTTCATTCTTGGTAATCCAGATGATGGAGATACTTGAGAGGGTTTATATCTATGCTGTACTGTAAAGGGTTGAGCTGGAGTCTGTCTCCGAGGTTAAGGACTTGCCTACCATTCATGAGACTGTGCCCCTGCCCCCAGTTCAATCCCTAGCATTGGAACAAAAAGGAAAGGCCAATCGCCGCCTTTCTCTTTTAACTGCTTTCTTTGATGGACACCTGCCAGCCTTGGTCCTCTCCTCCTTGGGCCAGTAAAAGCTCTTCCTTTGTTGCCTAAGTTTCACTGTTAGGCTCAACATGTGCATTCATTCTCCTGCTCTTGGTGCGGGGTTGCCCATCATATCCAGACCAGAAAAAGCCTCTTTGTATGCGCTTTCCATTCACACCCTTGCCCTACGTTTAATCTCAGTTGCAAAAGCCTACACTCCGGTGAGCTGAGCAGGGAAAAGCACTGGAAATACGAGCCTAACTTAATTAAGTTCACACATGCTCATAGCAATAAATAAAGTTATTTCCAGTTGCTTTGTCAAAAAAAAAAAACCTCGATA